CCAAAGGTCTACCGAATAAGAAGAAGTAAGCACTAATTCGTGGCTCAGCTGGTTCAACTTCTGCAAGGTTGGTTGTGCGATGTGCGTCCGAGCTACCTGTCAGGAACGAGCCGGTTCCTTTATAATGAGGAATTTCGAGCATATGTGCCAGAGTTCTAGGAGTAGTTTGACACATTATCAGGAGTACTTTTTCCACATTAACAGATCCACCTGGTTAGAAAAGCTAGACCAGCCGCTGACCTTATGAAAGTCACCTCAACCTTCCTTCAGTGAAGTTTCACTTTTGCAAAGTTTGTTAGAGCCGTTCGTCTCGATCACTCCACCAAAGGTTCTACACTGTAGCAAAGAATCCGTTCTTTATCGTGCGTTGCAAATCATTGAAAAATCAGGTCGCCTTTCAGTATAAAACGAACTAGAAAAACGGCGATCGACTCCTCAAAATGGTGCGTTGTCGCGGCACGCCCTATATGCTATTTGGGACTTTCGACCAGGGTCAACCGTCACGTTCGAACATTTTCGGGATTTTTGCGACCCCCTAGCTCTCGAGGGGGTCCAGTTGCGACCCCCTGTTTTGTTAATAAGAGTGCTAGACATGAATCCGTTGCGCCAGAAAGCGTCTGCGCGTCGTCGCGTCGGCCTTGGAGCGCGGCAGGTATCACCCGGGCGCTGGAAGAACGGGACGCGGCGAAGAAAAAATTTCAGAGGGATAACTTTCTTGGGACGTATTTTTTTGACTTGTTGAGGTAGATTTTGATTGTGCCTGAGGTGCGCTTCCAGAAAACTACAAGGATTGCCTAACTCTCCGGAAAGTACTTCTGTAGACCACTAAATAGGCGCACCTTCAACTTTGAAGGCCCATAAAATCCTTCGTATGCGACATTTTGGAAATCTATAAAAAGTTTCAGAAACATCAAATATTTCTCTAACAAAATAATATAAAAAGTTTGACGATTGTCCTCTTTTTCAAAAAATCGCCCCGTTCGAACACTTTTTTTGAAATCGCGAGTTTTTGGGCTTTCAGCGGGCATAACTCACTTCATTTTCATTTCTGTGATGCACACTTTCCATGGGGTGAAAGCAGGATTTGCTCTTTCTAACAAGCCCTAAACCGTTTTTCAAAGTTCATTTTTCGAGAAAATCACACGTTCGAACATTTTGGGGGGTTTTGCCGAACACTTTTTTTGAAATCGCGAGTTTTTGGAGCTTTAAGCGGGCATAACTCACTTCATTTTCATTTCTGTGATGCACACTTTCCATGGGGTGAAAGAGCAGGATTTGCTCTTTCTGACAAGCACCAAACCGTTTTTCAAAATCCATTTTCCGAGAAAATCACACGTTCGAACATTTTGTTCCCATAGGTTTTTGAGCAGCACATGCGAGTTTTTGAGCTTTCAGCAATAATAACTTCCTTCAAAGAACTTGTTGGGGAGGGGCGAAGACATTTTTGAAGACTACGAGATTTCTGCTTTCTTATGTGTTTTACCGTTGTCTGGAAGAATCGTCCTCAGAAAATTAGGTCCCGAAGAACTTTAATTTCAGCCCCGAGAAGTCAAACCTTTCATAGGGATGCATTCAACTGTTCTTTATTCCTCAAGGAAAACACCGTAATTTGCCTAAAACTGTCTCTCTGTGCATAATTAATCGAATCTAATGCGGTCTGCACAAACAATTCTTGCCCTCGGATACGCCACGCACGCGCCTGTGGCTGGCAGTCCTCGAAATTGCGACCCCCTTCCGACCAAAATGCGACCCCTTCGTTCGAACAGTTCGAACGGACGGTTGACCCTGTTTCCAGCTCTTCCCGTACAACAAGAAAACACAATGCAAGTGCGATCAGTTTAGGAGGAACCCTCTCAATAGATTTGTGCAAACGTGCTTCAACCAGAACGTTCGACTAATCGTTGGCGTTGTCCAATCTCCGATCACCACCCTCACAATCTTTAGGGCTCTCGCTATTCTTACAAAAGCTTTTTGAACAATTGCTTCAGACCATATTTATTGCGAATCTCAGCCAAGTGCGTCTATAATATCTTGACCTGCTTCCTCTCCATACTGGCCTGCTTTGAGCTAGAAAAAGGAAATCATGCAAATTTGCTCTTGGAGTATGCCGTATTCAAGGCTTCAAAAAATGACAACTAAATAATAAGGAACATAGCTAGCCTAGCTGTTAGATAGAACAAGAAAAGCTCTTCAAAACCACATACAGCTCATTGGCAGCTTGCTTGAATTCGTAACAAAATAAAGCGTTCAAAAACGAAACACCGAAAAGCGCAAGAACTTTCTTCACGACCTAATAGTTCCTACAACGAACTGCAGTGGCTTTTGGAATGGTGAAATGTGGAAAGATCAAACTCATTACCATCTAGCTATCACCATTATACACCATGTTCGTCTTTCGATGAACCTTGAATTAGTTGCAGTACGACTTTGTTTCAACCAACAGCACACGAGGTTGATAACGATTCCGTCGTGCTAACGTTTCGGCGATTTTGCACGGTGCCTAAGGAATTAGCGCGGAAATCTAACTAAGCCACCCTTTCCGTTAATGAAATAGGTCAGATTGTGAATCACTGGAAATAGCACACAAAGTTTCACGCATGAAGATTCGGTTTCTGAAGAGAAACAAACGTACAAAAACTACACGTTATGGACCATCGAAGGACCAGGAGGCAGAGCCAGGCGAGGCATGGAAAGAAGACGGCGTTTGGCCGGCTACGTACCAGGCGACGCAATGAGAGAATCGGGTTAAAGCGCGCGATTTCGGAGAGTGGAGACAAATCGATCGATGGAATAGGATGGAGTAGAAGTGTAAGATGTGAATGCAACGAAGCAGAAGGCCAGAAAGAGCTTCTAGTGAATGCACTCCAAGAACCAAGTTTGAGCATCCCCGTCGCCAGCATTCGTGAAAGACGTCCGTGGGCAATTCGAACGCGTAGCAGCCTTTTCGAGTTTTCGAATTTCTAATCAAAACGAAAGCAATACTTCAGTTCTTTTCACTATTATCGTGGATAATGAGTCTCAAGCCAGTGATTTATGGCTGAAATAGAATCATGATTTTTCCGCGCAAGATTCCTTTAAAGTGGAAACAATTACGAGCACGACCAATGTTTAGCTACCCTAGAGATCACCTAAGCCATCATATAATTGATAGGCAGATGCAGTAGGGTAACTATAGAGAATTGGCTCATAGGAACGGCAGGGAATGTTGAGCTTATATAGAAGAACTTTCCGCGTTATCCACGCAAGTTCTCTCCTGTTGTTCATTTTTGGATTCCTGACCCCTATACAGAACTCCTCCTGTGTTTCACGCGCGGCTTCAAGGTTTCGCGAATCGTGACTCGACGGTGACCCTGAGATCGTCCCGTTATGAGTTTCCACCTTGTGGCACCCCAGGGCAATGGATAGCCGCGAGCGAGCTTTTCCTTCCGAATGCTCCTCAACAGGCACATAAGGAGGTCTAGTTGTCTCCTTAAAATATTCGTCTCCACAAGTTTGACAAACGATCCTGTGCACCACACCTATGACACATCCCCCTCACTGCCACTGGGCAGACAACGCGACGGTCGATCGTGCATGCGCGGTTGTAAAGACGGTTTCGAATTAGACGGTGTTTTAGATTATAGGGAGGTATATCGACCAAGGAGACAGTAGTTTCCAGACTGATCTTGTCAGACACTTCCATATGGAAGCGCTCACATCAACAGAGATGAGCGAAACCATGAATGGGATTTTTCTCAAGAGCTCGCAACCAGGTCTGGCGGCTTCATCACTTGCCGTGGCCCTGCGTGGGTGAAGCGTCGAAATCATGGCGCACGAAACGCAGACAGCCGCGCGCAAAACCAAAAGAAATTTGGATGCGGGTCAGAAATCCAAAAATGAACCTCAGGGGAGAATGTGTGTCAATAACGCGGGAACTAACCCCCTATATAAGGTTAGCCTTCCACCGGAACCCTGAACTCTGATCAGTCTGATATCCGCTATACTGTCGTTCTGTGAGCTGATTCCGCTGATCTGGAAGGTACGGTACTTTATCTGCCTATTAATTATGTGATGGTCTCGAAGGTCTCGTAGGGTAGTTAGACATTTGGTCGGATATGTCGTGAATTCGGTTTCCACTATTTTGGCTCTGAAGAAGGCGAAATCGCCAAAACGTTGACCGACGGAATCATTATCAACCTCTAAAACCCTGGTAAGTAGAATAAAGCCGTACTATTACCAATAGATTTTCAAGGCAGATGACTCGTTGGGCGTGTTACAGACAACACCCCCCCCCATCCCTTTTCTACCAACATGATTCCTTCTATAGTGCCTGGACAGATGACACACTCCAACATAGCCCTGCACTCAACGATTTCCTTCGAAATTGCCACCAAGCGCGGAGGTGTAGGTACAGCTTGTAGAGCTACTCAGACTGCTAGTTCCATTAGGGTGTCCAAAAAGTAATGCACGTTTTGATGTGTCATACTTTACTAGACATTGTTGAGGGATATTTTTTGTTTACTGTATCGTTGCACTTCATTGAAAAGCACACTCATTTCCTTTTCTTACACTGCTATTGAATTTTGAAAGAACTCGGTCAGCAGAATTTTTCAAAAAATTGTATCGAAGACGTCAAAGCATTAGTTTGAGTCGCTTCTATGAGTTGAAATCGGAGTCCTATCTCCCTTGTTATTCAATATATTTACCTTTTGAACTTAGTTCCCTAATCACTTCTGTGGGAGTAGAATGTAAGATTTTTGCTGACGACCTTAAAGTTTACAAGGTCATTGACTCTGATTCTGACTCGGCCCAATTGCAAAAGGCTGTAGATATTGTTAGCAATTGGTCCAAGACTTGGGGACTCCCTCTTTCTGTTGAAAAACTAAGGTTTTGATTCTATCCCAGTCACCTTCTTGCCGTTATTCTTATCACATAGACGGCAGGGTTCTGCTAACCGTAGACAAGCCACAGATCTAGGTTTCATTATTTGTCGTGACCTTAGTTTCGACGACCATGTCAACATGATTGTCAGCAAGGCTACCAATAAGGTCTATAACTTCTTTAAGGCCTTTGCTTGTCGTGATCCTGAGGTTCTTCTACGTGCGTTTAAGACCTACATTCGTCCATTGCTCGAGTATGGGACTGCTATATATTTCCCGCACAAAAAATCTTCGATTAAAGCTCTTGAAAAAGTTCAAAATGACTTCACTAGGAAGTTAATGATTAGAGTCCATGGATATGACTATGCGAAAATACCTAACAGTGCCATTAGAAATAAAATTCTCGGTCTGCAGACGCTCGAAAAAAGAAGGAAATTAAACGACGTATACTTGCTTTATAAGATTCTCGTTGGGAAGATTTCACTCGATAAACAGGGACTCTCGTACTCGTGGCGGAAGTATCAAGGTTTTTATCCCTCGACCTAAGTCTAGGTATCGAAGCCATTTCTTTTGCCATCGCGCTGGCTTAGAATTCAACAAAATTGTGAGGCAGGCTGGGGCACCGAAATCATATGCTCACTTCAAAAGACTAGTGACCCAACACTTATCATAACTTTTTCGTTCCTTTGTTGTTATGTTTTTTCTCTTCTGTTTCCCGTATTGTTGCTTATAATTACTATTGCCTTGTTACTAACATTTTTATTTTCACAAGTCAGCTTAAGTTCCTACGTCATGTATGTGGTTCATTTTTCAAAGGTTCGTGTTTTGTGATTATTACATTCACACGGGCTTGCTCGTGTAATAAATCAAATCAAATCAAATCAAATTCGGAATGCTCTGCAGACAGCTCGGAATGGGATTATTGTGTGGGGCTAAGGATGTTGTCAACAAATGCACACTGCATCGATGGCTCCGAAGCTTTCAAGTTAGGGAACTCTAGATTCGAAGTGAGGGGGTTACGGACGACATTCTCCTCTTGACGGCGGCCTTCTGAAGGACCCGGCAGAAGAAGATTTCCAAACAAGTGTACGACTGCCAGCAGTATAACCGTGAGCAGGCATGTTAACATATTAATTATGCATATTATTATTCGGAGTTCCAAAGCATTTGGGAAGCTGGACAAGTGGGCATCGCATGGGCTGACAGAGCAGCGAAGTCGCCTTTCATAGATCTATCACAATTCGTTTCACATAACAGAAATATCCAACTTTTGAAACATTCCGTCATCCATGAAGAAGAGTGGATTTTTTTGTTACAGACTTATTTTCTAAAAATCTTTGCAGTGACGATCACCAAAAACTTGCTCTAAAATAGGAATTACACAAGGTGAGGACCACGCTGATGGTTTCGTGGCCTTCCGAAGTAATGATGCATCGCAGCTTTCTGGATCCAGGTGAACTGGGGTGATACAGTTCAGGGTCTGCATAACACCGACGTGATGCCCGGAAAGGACAAGGTCTGTATCCAGGAAAGGAGAAGAACTGTTGTCTGTGTTGACACCTATCCACACATCGCACAAACGACCTTGCAAAAAGTGGACGAATCGAACTATCCGGCTTTGCTTCACCCAAAGGATCTCACTCTCTCACTAACCTCCAATTTTTTAGAAATCTCGCCAGCTTGCAGAAAAAGATTTGAAAACTGGGACTCGGTGAAAAAAACCTTCGACGATTAGCGCGCTTTTGTGGTTTATATATCTTGAGTTAGTGTAGCACCACAGCCTTTTACCAAAAATCTGCGTGGTTTCCAGCACTTTTTTAGAGCTGAAAATGCTGACTTTGAGCTGAGAGATACTCCTTTGAAGTCAAAACCGCATTACTTTCTATACAACTAGCCTCCAGTTCGGCCCATTCCATTCTTGTTTTCTCGAAATCGTAACAAACCTCTTCCCTTCACCTCGCATGTTCCCAAAAAAATATGCCCTCTTCTCCTACAATGTGACCTTTTCAATTTCCATCACTCCGACCCTTTGAACAAATCCCAAAAAAAATCACAAATACGATACGATACCTTGTGCCCATTGGAATATGATCGGACAGTTCGCCCTCGCAGGCAGGTGGGACGAGGGCAATATCCACTCATTCCACATATTTTTCTCCATGAATTTTCAAATTTGCACATGACAAGGAAGACTTTATGAGTGCGAGAATCGAGCAAAAACGTGCACGTTGTCAGAAGAAATTCATGCTTCGCGAGTGATAAGAAAGAGTACACTCTCAAGAAATTAGGCCTAAGTTCGACAATTGAACCTTGAGAATTTACTTATTCCAGGCATGGCATATTCCGTCCTCGCCACATTGCCACCAGTTTTCGGCCTTTACGCTTCATTTTTCCCGCCCTTGTTTTATTTCCTATTCGGCACATCGAACCACATTTCAATCGGTGGGTGTAATTGCGAATGTCACCATTTTATCCGAAATAAAAACGGGAATAACTACGTCAAACATTACGTATCAAAGCAACAGTCCCAGCAGGGTGGGCGTGGTCGGAAACGGCTGCAATCCCCTCGGCCGATTCCCACTTCGGAGCTGTTCAGCCCCTAGTCAAGAACGTAAGAAGTGTGACTGAACAAAAACTCACCTTGGAAAGCCGCTAGGAGGGAGCTGAAGTGGGCGTGGTCGGAATCGGCCGAGGGGATTGCAGTCGTTTCCGACCACGCCCACCCTGCTGGGACTGTTGCTTTAACCCGAAGTGCCAATTCCTCTGTGAAGTTCCATTCAGGTGTGTTCTCGCTGACATGCATAATGACTGGTCAGGCTCGATTGTCAATTTTATCTGGTGATGTCAATGGAACTACTGCAACTGATTATGAAGGTGAAAATCGACCCATAACAGTCCTGGCCCATTTTTCTATGCGGATGTGCTTCAGGAATCCATGATCTAACACCGATTGATGTCGTTGTACTGCTTGCTTTCCTTACTGGTATCATACAGGTTTGGTTCTTATCAAGAATTCGAGAAAAACTTGAGGGCAGCTGGCATAATAGTGAACATTTACCTGCCGAGAATGTTCTTGAGTCGCACGTTGCAAAAACCCGTCAGCGGTCCCATTTAGAACTGCTCTCGAAAGCTCCAAAAAAGCGCCAAGTGGAGAAGGAAAAGGGGCGGGCGAGTGTGTGAGGTTTGAGCACTGCTTACCCCCCCCCTCCCACAGTCACGCTTGAAGTTTGAGCTCTGGATCTGATGGATGTACGATTGACGGGCTCTTCGCTAACACCAATAAAAGTTCTTCAACACATGTCGCTGCTCGTCCGTAAAAAAATCTCTCAAGATGACTGGGCTACATATGAGCATCTTAAATTTTTGAAGAGCTGCAAAAACTGCTAAAATGCCATTTACAGCTAATGATGTGGGTTCTACACCTGTCATTCTTATCGACATATCTGACTGATTCGGCAGTGACCGGGTTGACTGTTGGTGCAGCTATCCACGCCATGACGGCTCAGGTCAAAGGACTACTCGGCATCACACTACGGCACACCTCCAGCGGTTTTCTTCAGCTATTCGGGGTACGCCCTTTTTATCTGCAACACGCACTTCCTTTAGTAAAATTGGTAAGAACAAAAATTGACATGTCAGTAATGTTTACAGGGATTACCATTTCAGAAGTGGTACGCCATAGTGGAGGGATTGCCCAACACAAACCTCGTCACTTTAGCCATATCCGTTTCTACGATCACATTTCTCGTGCTTTATAAGAAAATTGTCGAGCCTGTGCTGAAGAAAAAGAATATTTCTCTTCCAGCGGAACTTCTTGCGGTTAGTGATACTCCTCTGAACAAGGAATGGTTTCATTAGCATAGTATTACTCACCTCAGTCTAGGAATGGGATATTATCTCACTAGCTGGCTCCGCATGCTGTTGCGCGCACAACACAGTTCTGCGGCGACATGGGACGGTGCTGCAAAAATCCTCTAATTCAGATCGATAACTCACTAATATTCGACTTGCCTCTGAAGCTAGATTCCATGTGATTCCTCCGTGCTATCTCTGGACCACATCACAGCTTTGGACTTTCGCTTCAACCACTACTTTGTACTCCCGCCCTTCTACAGCAGTCGACCTCCTTCCCTTCTCCAGTCTCCACCCACTTTCCCCGGTCACCGGGACTTCTTGGAAGTAAGTTATGAAGTATCGTGACAAACTGCCCCACTTCAGTGCACGCCCTGGTCTCCAATAGTATTTGAATTCCTTCCCTTGGCCGACTTTTGTCCACTATTTTCGATCTCTGGACTGCTCTTAAACCGATTCATAAGGTTTGTTGTAAGCTCCGCCCACCAGTAGCACTGAACTTTTTCTTCCTAGTCGATCTCTACACTGCTATCAGATAAAACGGTCGGCCCCTTCCTTTGGCCGACCTTTCCCCACTTTTCCCCGGCCTCTGAACTGTCGCTGAGCAACTCATGAGTTTGCCTGCAAACCCAGCCCACTTTGGTGCATGCCACGCCCACCAGTAGCAGTTGGTCTACTTTCCTTCGCCGACCTCTACCTCTTTTTCCCTAACTTCGGGACTTCTTGGAACCGAGTTGTAGGTTTTTCAACAAACTCCGCCCACTTGGGTGCATGCACTACCACAATAGCAGCTAGCCTTTCCTTCGCCGACATCCATACACTTTTTCCCGGTCTCCTTCTTGTCATAAGTTTGGTAACGAACTCTGCTTACCTCTGCGCACGCCACCCACCATTGGACATTTACCCTCCCCTCTTTCTTTGACCTGTACCTAGCATTTTTTCGCCTTCAGAGGCTTCTCGGAAGCGAAGTATGAGGACTTGTCAAAGCTATCCACTTTAGGGGACGCTCCGCCCATTGCGGGCGGGCCTCCGCTCATGTCATGTGTGCTGGAAACACCTTAGACATTGCGTTCCCTACACGAGTTTTTTCTGCTCTGTATACTTTCTCCTAACCGAGAAATTTTTCATTGAGCACCGCTTTTTTGGAGAACAGTTCCAGCAGGGTTTCTAGTCCGGACAACTCGTCCGACACGTCTCTCCCTCCATTTAGCAGGAGAAGAGGGGAGCTTCTGTTGAAAAGCTTCGCTGGCGTTTTTCGTCGCTTTATTTAACTAGCGGTCAACTCGCCATCTACAACTTCTTTGTCGATCGTTTTTACTCCTCAAATTCGATCTGCTGCTTCGAGGGCACACTGTCCTTGGGAGGCGGTTGTAACGCTAGGCTAGGCCCTTCGCGTTACTGGCCGATGCTTTACAGGTTCCACCCCTCTCGAGTCGTTGTCACGATCATTTTGAAGTTGCCATGCACATTAATTCACGGCAATTTGCAGTGCATGATAAAAACTCCTGTGTGAGTAGTCCTTTAGTCAACTGAAGTTCCCTTACAATCATCGCTATCCTCAAATCTCCACACGTTGGAAAGAATTCGAATCGCAGAACCTTGCGGATTTTATCCGCGATCTGCACACGTTCTGACGTGTTGAATTCCACTGCAGAAGCCCGCGAAGACTTGCCTCGTCCGGATCGCCGCGCGATTTGCGTCTGTTCAGCGCCTACTCTGGTATGCCCCATCGTGGACCGATTATACAAAAATCTAGAGTTGGCCAATCCGTACGCCTTCTCTAGGGGGACTTGGATAGGTGGCATGCAGAACAGTGTGAGGGGAAAACTATCTGTTGTCCCTCCATAGTACTTCAGCAATTATAAAAAGCAGTTCTGAAAATTCCGTCTCAAGGTGAGTGCAACGGTCTTCGTTCCATCACAAATGGCTGAACATGCTGACCTTTCTTGATTGTTTCACATGTTCGGGTCTATCACAGCGCTTACTCAAGCTTGTCGCGGCGCTGCTGTGCACTTCTCCAGCTCTATACCATACTTCAATTGCAGATACGAAACAGTTAGTACAGCTTATCGGCGACTAGTGGGCTTTCCATGGAAACTGTGTGATGTTTAAGAGTTCCAGTCTTTGAGAAAACTACTTTCAGCTTGTCGTCATAACATTTATATCAGCAATGGCTCATTTCCACGATCGATTCGGAGTAATCATCGTCGGTGATATCCCAACCGGGTTAGTCTTCTGAGATCCCTCGAATAATTTCAAGTCAGAATGCTTTCATGCTAGAAATATACACGTTCAGACTGCCTCCACCGAAAGCGCCACGCTTCGAGGAGATATTGGTCGAGCGTTTGATAATTCCTGCTGCTAGTATCGCTGTTGTGGCTTATGCTGTTACCGTATCCATGGGGAAATTGTTCGCTCGAAAACACAAATATCACATCAACCCAAACCAGGTACAGAGTTGCTAGAGGTTAGCAATTCATTGTGATGATTTTGTATTGCTTTACCACGCAATAATGGGAATTTAAGAATTCTATAACTCGGTTTCTACCCGACCGAACCCCTGCCCTCTACCCAGCCAATTATAGCAAATGATGTTGTCGTTGCAGTGAAGCATCATAAATTCAGGAGATACTAGCACTTGGAATTGCTAGCACCATTTCGTCGTTTTTCTCGGTGCTTCCTACGTCCACTTCATTATCAAGAAGTCTTGTAAACGAAGGAGCTGGAGCTCGCACACAGGTGATAGCCATTTCTTGAGGATTGATAACTAGTATAGTTCCAAAAATAACTTATGAATTTGATTTCAGAAAGTGTTTTTTCAACTTGAAGGAGTCGCCTAGGTAAAAATCATGACTCTACGCCACCAGTAAATCTCGGGCTTGAGTGATATCTTAATCATAAAAAGAACAGAGAGATTGTGTTTTTTTTTCAATGTAAACCATTCAAGAAAAACCCGTCGTACATCTTTCACAAATGTTGTAAACGGGAAGAATTGCATTTGGTTCTCAGAGTGCCTACCCTAAGATTCTTTTTGGCCTTTTCCACGTATGGGAATAACATTTCTCCTTTCTACTGCATCCTATTCTATCGATTGTTTTGTCTCTGTTTCGAATTCGAACGGTTCAATCCGATTCTTCCAAAGCGTCGCCTGATACGTTTCCGTCCCAAGGCGCACTTCTTTCCATGCTTTCCCTCGTTTCCATCCCACCTACCCTCAACCGTCCATGGAGCACGGTTTTCGTAAGATGTCTCGGGAACTGAATTGCGTGAAATTTCGTACGTTGTGTCTAGTGATCACGACTGACATGCTGGTGGTGGGAAAATGCAGAATTTTCCGGGGACGACTTCTTTATGTGCTTTTGCATGCGTCAGCTTAGGTCTGCTTCACCATCACTAATGATTTTCTGTTAATTTAGTATCAGATTCTTCGGTAACTGATGAGCATTATCTATCCTAAGAGTCAACTCCCTCAATCTCAATGACAAGAAGTCATTTCCGACCAGTAAAGGTGCCGAGCCTTTGAGACCTATTACTCTGCCCTAGAAATTTTTAACTTAGGTCAACATTCATTCTAAGGCAATGTACTTTACTTTTCGTATTCAAGTCATCTTTGTATTGAAGTTATCCGGTATGGTAGCGTCCGCTGTGATTCTCTGTGTGATTCTGGTGATCGCTCCACTTCTCAGTGCGTTGCCGATGTGCGTGCTGAATTCAATCGTCGTCGTGGCTCTGTCCTCCCTGCTGTCTAAAATCACCGAGTTGAAATATCTATGGCGATTCTCCAAATCGGATGTGGTGAGTAATTTAAGGAAGTGACAAGTCAGTTTGACTTGGCGATGTTCTTCGGAGCTCCTTCTTTTCTCACCTTCACTTCTTCACTAGGCTTGCGGAAATATCGTCATTTTCCTGATTTGCTTGTATAGACTACCGCTCCGCTTATGTTTTGTGGTGCTCGCAAGCTGTCTCTGAGGAGTTAGGAACGCTAGGAGCGAGCACATTACGCTACAAGTTATGCTACTCTTTGGTTTTGCTGTGTGTCGCGATCCGAAAGCAGTCGCCCTCTTAACCATCCAACACGACGCATCACGTTTGGTAAGAGCCTCGCGGCCCTTTGCAACACACCTCGCATCACGAGTTCTTCCCAAGGACCATGCTGTTTCCCATGCACGGTTAACCATCCGTTACGAGGGTTTTTCTTCAAAGATTTTGGCGAAATCGTCGCCAATGAGGTGAAAAATAGGCGAAAATGGAAGAGATGTTTCGAGATGTTCGCTTCATTAGATGTGTTAATCCCCCTTCCCCTTCACTCGTTTTTTCCAAAAGGCTGTGTAACGGGTCTCAGAAAGGAAATAGCAATGACGGCGGGGTGGTGATCATTTGGAGAAGAGGCTGTGTCGAGGGACTTCTGTGAAGCTGGCGGTAGTGTGGGAAAGGGGATCGCAAAAATTTTGGAAAAGTGCGAGCGCGACGGCGACGCTGTTCCCATGTGCCTGGCCTGTGCTCCCAAGGCATCACGTGATCCCAACGGTCTATTGGGTGATAATCTGCAACCCGCGGGACGAGGCCTGCCGTTGACCAAGCTTTCCCATCCTAAAGGTCGAGGGCTCGTTCGTTCCGGCAAGAACCCCATAACAGCAGCATCACGCTTGGCGTCGCAGAATGGCGGTAAGCAAGTATGGTGAATAGCTATGCTGTCGGCTGCCCGAGAAGCTACCCGAAGCCGAAAGCTGCGCTTGAGCTCAGTGGCGCGCTAATTTATCAAGGCTCAGAACAGGCGGGCAGCATGCTTGACCATGATGCCGAGTGAAAGTAGCAGGACTACCTATATGCCTTTTTCTTGTTGCCCGGCACTTCACTTTTCAAAGGCGAACCCCGGAATAAGCACGCTTTTGGAAGGATACCGCGAGGGAAATTGTCCGTACCTGCCTAGATCACTCCAGCTTTGTCGCGAAAATTGCGCGGTCAGTTCGCTGATCCTTAGGGACCTGCAACCATCGACTCCCGTCAGGGTCAATCGTCACGTTGGACAAATTTGAAAAGTTTTACGACCCCCTCATATAAACGTGTATCCTCCTCAAGAATAAAAGAATAAGAATAAGCGATATAAGAATTAAACACAAGACACTGTAAAAGCAGTACTTGGATATAAGTGGAGCTTTCCCGCGAGGGAACCGAATTGAGCACGGGAGCTTTGCGTTCGCATTGGCGCGCACAATCTTTCCTTCAACGCAGCGAGTGGTCACTTTTTTACTAACTTAGGTCCAGTTTGAAAACATTGGTTCTCCTCGAGAGCATATTTGTGTACGTGAACAGTCAAATATGGACACTTCTGCAGTAGACTCTTCTGCTCTGAGGTGCGCCATGCACTCGTTTGTGGTTAATAGTTGGAGAAGCACTTGAAAGTTATGCCTCTCATCTACGTATTGCGACGTTGACCTTTGCGAATACGACCCCCTCTCCCGTCGGCCAAATACGACCCCCCCCCTTGGACGCGGATAGACCGAGACGGACTACTAATTTCAAAAGAGTGTAATTCTGTTCAACATCAATATTTTTCAAAATGCTAAGAGATTTGTAATCTACGAGACCCTAGTTTCAGAAAACAACCACTTTTTTTGCAGTTCTTCAAAACTATGTTAGTTATGGGGTAGAGAAACCGGAATTCACAGAAATGCGCACTTCTTCTTTGAAAAGGTTGAAATTTTCTTCAAATAAGTAAATGTGAAGGTGTGAGTGTGGTGAGAAAATTTCCGAACACCAAATTAATTAAATTAAGTCCGGTTTGAAAACATTGTTCTCCTCGAGAGCATATTTGTGTACGTGAGCAGTCAAATATGGACACTTCCGCAGTAGACTCTTCTGCTTTGAGGTGCGCCATGCACTCGTTAGTGGTTAATAGTTGGAGAAGGCCCTTGAAATTCATGCCTCTTCAAGCTTCCCACCCACCTCAATTGATGTAGAGATCAGCGTGCTCTCTCGAACGGCGTGATCTTTCGCGTGTTTTGTCTTCTTTGATCGCCCTGTCTCGCCATCGTACCACATCCAAGGTTAAGGCCTTAATTTTAGCGTTTCCGATATTTCTCTTGCTTTCCTTTCCACTTTCAGTCGTTCCGCAGCTAAGTCATCACTACGAAGCGCTCTTATCAAAAGTTTCATCCCGGGGCTTGCCTTCAACGGTGGTAGCGAGAAACGTTGACTTGCAGAGTTAGCTCCTAGAAGTTGGTTGTAGTCGGTTGATGGTCTGGCTGGAGGTTGGAACATGCGCTGACTAAAAGGCCGGTGCTGAAGTCTAGTGAAACGCTAGTGTATCGTGGGATGCAATTTGCTAAATTCGCAAAATTGACACAGGCCTGAGCGCGACAGAGCCCAATCGCGCAGTGCACCAGGGACTGCTGTTGCGAACCGCAACACTGTTCCTCTTTTTATGTTCTTCTTCCCACGGAACTGCATGTATGCGCTTCACAGTTCCACAGGCTCAGATACTATGCGGGAGTATTCCTGAGCTGAACACGCATTATGGTCGATCAGACAAAGCTTATTCCATCATACTGTTCTCCATCCATTATTTTTCCTGATCACTTAAAAAACAAGAAAAAAAAATCAAAAAAAATCACAAGAAAAAAATGAAGGAAAAAGGAAGGACGAGGTTTTTCAAATTCATGAAAGCGGTAAAGGCTTATAAAATCGAACAGGATTAGTACATCATAGCCAGATTGATTTGAAAGGAATGCCTTTCTCCTGTTAGAGGTTTATATTAGATCCTAGTGGTCAATAATCTGCCGAATTCGATGCACTTTCCTCCACTTTCGGTCTAAAAGCATGGAACTTTTTCTGAAAGGTTTTTTCATTTGGGCTCCCTAGTTGTCTTTGCGCAACGGACGGATGACCCTGCTTGTGAAGGATTAACACAACATTAAAGCGAGGGATTACGACAGGTTGGGTTGGGTTCATAGTGGAAGTGGAGATGCTGAATAATGCCCCAGTGGCGAAAAAAGCAAAGAAATCCGTCAAGAACGCGCAAAATGGGACCCCTTTCTTTGCCCGTTGACCTCCGATAATGGACGAGCTAGCAACCAACTAAGAGGTCGTTTGCACATGGTTAACCGATACCACCAAAACCATGCTTTGATTGATAAGGCATTTCATGGAAAACTTATCGAATGCACACCTGAAGAGGAAGATTTTATCTGAAAGGTCAGAACAGCTAGCAACACAAGGGTGGAGCACAGGCGGCAGAGGCGGAGCTCGGGGAGCATTGCCGCAAGGGCGCTAATCTAGCTCGCCTTTGACCAGACCAAAAGGCCAGATCTCCCTTCCTTTGGATCCTGACTAGCGCTTGCAGTGGTAAATGTACTTTCATAACCACCTTATCGTAATCCTTCGCTTCAAAACCAAAAGATTTGGTGATTGCCCTGAATGTCCTTTCTAATTCAACACAATCCCTCTACTGCTAATAAATACCTTCCATGCGAGTCCATTCGGAAGCTCAAATATGCGGTTGTCTCGGCCCTTCCCGATCCTCTGCCCTCCTTCTTTCTCCCACGTATAGAATTGGTCGGCAGACGTTTGACCATGGATGTACCACCGACGATTTCAAAAGACGGGCACGGTGAACGTAACCAAAATATTCATAAGTTTGGGAAACTCACGGAATGGTTTGCTAACGATAGCGCCATTCAGCCGAACACCCACTGTCAGTCTTCGAAATTTTCGTTATCGTTCATCCACTTTGCAGATTGTATGGGTCGCAACTGCCGTGATCACAATTTGTTGGGACATCATCGCAGGTCTTGTCACCGGCATTGTGCTCGCATTGATCACTGTTGTTGTCCGTACACAAAGGTACTTTTCTACAAGTTAATCACGTCTAGTAAGAAAATAAGAAATGGATTTTTTAAGTGCTATCGCGGTTCGATTAACAGCCCGCAGGCCGAGTTGCGAACTTTTGTGTCATAAATGTAGGTTTGGCGGTCGTAAGTGTCGATCGCCCGAATGGGGCTGCGCTTAGCTGATGTGTATTTTTACTTCACGGATATGACCCACCCATCCCATATTGACCCGGTCTGTGCAGGTGAATCTCCAGAAAATAGGGAATTCCGTGACAGATAGACACCTTAAGAGATGTGGAGCAGCGCATTATATACAGCAGCGGGCAGAAATCTTTGGTGGAAATCTTTTCCGACTGTAACTTTTTCTGCTAAATCAAATCAGATATAATTTCAATATCTACAGTTGCGTATTAGTGCTAAATGTTAGAAAGTTAGAAATGAAAAATCATTGCACAAGAAGTTCTCGAGTGTTACTGCAGAAAGCTAATATTTCAACAAAATAAGCAACTGCATCATAAGAAACATTAAGCAGATTCAATTTTTTGCAAGCAGCTTCTTAATTCGCTGAAACCTTAGGGAGACCTTAGTATGGAATCAGTTAGTACATTCACTACATATCTGCTGGGCGACCCAATTTTTCGTCAAATTTAACAAGTTTTTCATCCATATTCCTGGTTATTTTTTCCAAATGTTTTTCTATCTTTTTCCCTAGTGTTTCGATGACGCTCAGGGCGGAGCAACGTCATCTGGAGTGACAAGAGTAAATCAACGCTCGTCGGGGACGGCAATAGGCTTGGTGGGGTCCTCACAGAAAACTACTCAATTTAAAGTATCAACTGCCATCCGCAAAACAAGGCGGAGGCTCGGTTATGGTAGTCTGTGAATGATATCGGACCACTGCACAGGATTCGAGAAGTGGCGAAAGTGTACGTACTCAGATATATTCTGTAAGGAAACGCGTGT